CACGCCGTCGGCATGGAGCCCCTGGTCGCGGACTCCGTCGGCTGCACGGCGGGCGATGGCCACACGGGCTCGGAGTGCGGGTTCGTGTCATTCCTGGACGACTTCTCGGTGGCGGCGGTGGCGTGTGCGGCCCAGGGGCCGAAGTCGGGAGTTGAGTCACTCCTGGACTGGGCCGAGGCCCGCGCCCTCGGCGTCCGCCTCGGCAGTGCAGGTTGTCCAGATGCCGAGGAGCGTGTGCGGCTTCTCGATGGTCTCTTGGTCCGTGCGCGTTGCACGACGCGGCCCAAGAGTAGTGCGTGAGGCGGGCAGTTGCATTCTGTATGTAGATATGTTCTCGCCTTGTGGCGCGGCCGCGGTGGAGGCCCAGTGCGGCCCCCGCGGGGAGAGGCGGCCCTAAGCGGCCCCTCTCGGGAGGGCGTGCCCCAGGTGGCGCTCGGTGCCCCTGAAGCCCCCTCGATTCCTTCTCCTCTAACTTTAACTAGTGCACAAGAGCACGGCAGAACACACAGGATCACGGCAGACCACGCAGGAGCACGGCAGAACACACAGGAACATTGCATATTTCGTTTCACATGCTTGGTGGACGAAGCGACTCTTGTCAAAGAATGAGCTGGAATAAAGCTTTGAAGATCGTCCTAGATGGTCTATTCTGCCGTGCTCCTGTTTTTTTCAATCGTGCTCCTTCGCTCCTGGGGCCTATTCTGCCGTGCTCCTTCGCTCTTGGGGCTATTCAGCCGTGCTCTTCGTCTTCTTCTGCCATGGTCCTTTGCTTTTGGGTTCCGTATTCCTGGTCCTTCTCTGCCGTGCTCTTTAGCCCTTGGGGTTGATTCTGCCGAACATAGAGGGGCACGGCAGAACACGCAGGAGCACGGCAAAACAGACAGAGCACACAGGAACACGGCAGAACACACATGAACACGACAGCACACGCAGGAGCATGGCAAAACAAGCAGGTACATGATAGAACACACGGGAGCACGGCAGAACACACAGCAGCACGGCAGAGCACGCAGGAGCATGGCAGAAGAAGCAGGGACATGGCACAACACGCACGAGCACGGCAGAATACGCAGCAGCACGGCAGAACACGCAGGAACACGGCAGACCATGCAGAAGCACATCCGTAGCCATTTTGGCTCAAGCTGGCTTCGGGCGCTGGGCGGGCAGCGCGCCCCCCCGCTGCGGCTCGGGCGATGGCGACGGTCCGCCCCCTCGATGGGGAAGCGGTGGCGCTGCTCGCCCCGCTCGTGAAGCCGGCTGCGGCGGGCGCGGCCGAAGGCGGTGGCGGGCGGCAGCAGGTCGCCGCCGCTGTCGCCTCGGCCCTGCGCGCGGGTGCCGCGCTGCTCGCCCCGTGCCCGGCCTCCGAAGTTGAGGAGGAGGTGGCGGTGCGCGAGCAGCTTGGGAGGGCCCACCTGACGGAGATGGTCAAGGTTGGCCGCGCGGGCGTGCAGCCGCGGCCGTCGGGGGCCAGCCGCGCCTTCCGCGGCTGGGCCCAGCGCGCCGAGTTCGGCGGAGGGCCCCACGATGTGCTTGCCACGGCGCGCGATGCCAGGCGCCGCGGGAGGGGCCGTCGTCGCGGCGCTGGCGACGCTGAGTCAGCGGGGGCGGCGGACGCCGCGACCACTGACGACCTGGAGGCAGTGAAGGAGCAGCTCGAGGAGGGTCGGGAGGCGAGGGCCCCGCTGAAGCCGGTGGAGAAGAAGAAGGGGGAGATGAAGAAGCTAGTCTTCCAGTGCGCCCCTGGTGACAAGGCCACCGACGAGGTGAAGGTGTCGGTGTCGGCCATGGGTGAGTTGGCCCTGGTGAGCACTCGGCTCAACAACGGGGAGACCAAGATCGACTCCGAGAAGCTCAAGGGCGCGATTGCCCCCAAGGTGACGGCCCAGCTGGTCACGGACTGCCGCAAGGTGGAGTGCAGCCTCATGGACGATGGCGCTTATGATGGCGTCGCGGTCAAGGTCGGTGACGACGACGTGTTCGCGGAGTGCAGCGTTGTGAGCCTCTCTGTCGATCCCGTCAAGGGCAAGGGCAGGCGTCTCGCGGCCGATGCCCCTGGAGGTCGTGCGCAGGAGCGGCTGGCCGCGGCCGTGGCGGCCCAGGCGGCAATCCTGAGCGGCGATCTGGCCGAGGGGCTGCGGCTCCTCGAGGCCGAGTGAGTGAGTGAGTGAGTGAGTGAGTTAGGCGTGCAGTTGCATTCTTTCTGTAGATTTGTCTCGCCTCGGAGGGGGGGGTGGGCGTCTGAGGGGGTGGCCCTTCCGCCTGCCCAGGCCCGCTGGGGCCGCCCCGTTTAGGTTTCGTAGGGATTTCCCCTTTTGCTTTAAAGGCCCCGTCTTTAACTTTAATTTTAACCATGCAGAAGCACGGCAGAACACACTGGAGCGGGGCAAATTTCATGTTACATGCCTGGTGGACAAAGCGACGCTTCCCGTTCTTGTCCGGTCAGATTTAAATTCGTTTTTCAATGTTTTGGGGTTTCTCCTTGTTTCGGCTTCCCGACGCTCCACGACCGCCCCAGAGGCTCCCAAGACCGTTCCAAGAAGGCCCCATAGGCTCCCAAGAGAGCCCCGGGACAGGCCCAAGCTGGGCCCCAGAGCGGGAGCGGGAGGCCCCGCAAGGCGCTCCAGGACGGCCCTGATGGCCCCAACGTGGCCCCAGATGGGTCCAACACGGCCAATACACAGCCCAAAAGCCCTCCAAGGAGGGCCATCGATCAGACAGGGGGGGATGCCCCAATCGGGGTCTGACAAATCACTTCTTGGGCCGCTTTTAGGCCTTTCTTGAGGCGGTCTTTTCTGCTCTCGGAGCTGTATTTCGCTCCTGCTGGGTCCCTTTGGGCTTTGGGGGCCGACTTGGGCCCATCTTGGAGCTGCTTTCTGGCCTTCAGAAACGATCAGAATCGACACTGGGAGGAGGCAAACATCATAATATTTCCAACGCTTCGGAAGGAGTTTGATTTCTTGGAGGTTTCCCTGGGGTGCTGGGCTGGCACTGCGGGCCGTCTGGGGGCGGTATTGAAGGCTTTTGGGGGGCGTGTTGGAGAAATCTTGAAACCAGTTTGGCACACGTTAAACGACTTTTGAGGCCCATCTTTGGGCTCGTGGGGGCCTTCTTGGAACCTTCTGATGCCATCCTTGACGCTCGACCGGCCCGCCTAACGCCCTCGTCCAGGGGGAGGGTGTCGCGGTAGGGAGTAGGGGAAGGTCTCCGCCCCGAAAGGGACGAGGGGGTTCGCAGAACGAGGCCCTTTGACGTGTCACGCCCGCGAGGGCCGTTGGGACTCTTCTTTGTCATACCTCCTCGTCTGGTTGACTCGGCGGGTCCCACCTCGGTCTCATTCTCCGTCGTCTCGGGCGGTTTCCATATTGCTTCTGGTCTTGGTGATGCCGCCGCTGATGTTGCTCGGGGCCTTCGGTTCCCGGGTTGTCTAAAGCAGACTGCCACTCACATGAGCATCGTGCCACCCTGCTGTCCAGCAGCGCAATCCGGCATTCAGACGTTGCCCGGGCCTGAGGTTGAGCTGGAGCGCGCGCGAAGCGCGCGATGGTTCTAGTATATATATATATATATATATATATGTGTGTGTGTATGCACACATGTATGTATGTGGGTGTACTACCTTGTAGGTCACACCACTTCTACTGCACTTCAGAATGTATTGCGCAGCATCGATTGCACCACGTAGACTGCAGACCATGGATTGCTAGCAACAGCGCTTGGGTTCCACGCTGGCTAGCCGACGTCATCTATTCACATCCACATATATCAAATCATATGCATATACACCTACATCTGAATGCACATGCACAGCTACATCCACCGTTACCTCTATATATACCGCTTTATATACATCTACAACAACATATATGTATATATATACATATTTACACCTGCATCTACATCTACAGCTACATCTACGTCTACAGTTACATGTACATCTACATATACATCTACATCTACATCTACATCTACATCTACATCTACATCTACATCTACATCTACTACGTCTGTATCCACAACCACATCCACATCTACATCTACATCTACATCTATCTATACGCATGTATCGATGCATACGCCGCGTACACCTTTACAGTGGAAGGTAAGGTGTTGTCGTTTTTTCCGCACAGGGCGTTCCGGTGTGCTACGGACCCCCGGGCCATCAAGAAGCTAACCCCGGGTGTGGGCCGGGCCCCCAGGTCATCGAGAAGCTAACCCCGGGTGCGGGCCACCAAGACAGGCGTGGCGCCGCGCGCCCGGGAGCGAGGATCGCGGTGCGAGGTCCAGGGACCGAGCGAGCGCGCGTGGCGGAGGATCTGGGCGCGGCCTCGGAGAGGCACACAGCAGCTGCCGCCCTCGGCGCAGGGTCCGTAGCCCGGGAGCTTCCGGAGCCCCCAGTGGTTTCCAGAGGTCTCTGGAGGTTCCCAGAGGTGTCTGGAGGCCGAGAGACGTCCAATTACACCGAACCTCGACTCTCGACCCCCCCACACCCCCACACTCTCCTCCTCCTTCTCCTCCCCCTGGGCATCCCTCAACCTTTCGAGGTCCGCCCAGATCCGTCCCTCTGCCGGTCCTGCCTCCTCCTTTCTTCCTCTCGTCGTCATCTGTTCTTGCTTCCTTCGCCATCCCCGACCTCATTTCACAACCGCGCTTTTTCCTTTGCGCTCAACGCATCTATCCCCTCCCTATTCCCCCCCGTCCCTTCTCACTCCTCCACCTCCCCCCCTCCTCCCCGCTCAAAAGATCCCTAACGCTTCTGACGACTTTACAAGAACAGACGAACACCGCCAGCCTCCAGAACTTCCTAATTAGATCTCCCCTCAAACGCATTGCACTTTCTCTTCCAGACTTTCTCCCTCCCACCTTCTTCTCACCCTCCCCCGATACCTCCAGGACCCCTCCACAACAACACCGCCTTCCCCTCCTCTTCCTCCCCCTCCCCTCCGTTTCCGTTTTCTTCCCCTCCTCCCTTCTTCCCCCCTCCCCTACTTGCGCACCCGCAGGTGACAGGCTGCCTGAGGTGGAAGGGTGACGGCTACGAGACGCTGGGCCTCGCGATCTACAGGCGAGGGTGGAGGAAGAGGAAGACGATGAGGATAATAATGAGGAGGAGGAGCAGCAGCAGCAGCAGCAGCATCAGCAGGGAGGGGGCGGAGCCGGAGGAGGTTGGAGGAGGCGCGTGAATTGTCTTGTCAGGGTGTGCCAAGGCCTGCCACTGCCATCCCGTCACCGTCGGGCCATGGCCTGCCAGTTGCGCTCTTCGCTGTCCCTTCGCCTCTTTTGGCAGAGGTGTGGAACTCCAGGCCAGTCTCGGGGCCGAGCGAACAACAGATGCAATAGGTACTTGTCAGCACGAGTTGGCAGTGCAACTGCACTCTTCGATGAGATAATGGCACGTTTGGGAGAAACCTAGCACTCGAGTCTTCCAGAATTCGGGTCTGCCGACGCTTTTTGACTTCTGGCTCGTCCTGGATTTTGACGGGCCCGTCCTGGATTTCGACTGTTCAGTGCTCGTGGGATGCCTGCAGCGGGAGTTCGCGCCGAACTTCAGATCGGGTCTCGTCGTTTTCCTGACGGCCCCGCCGGGCCAGACCGAGTCCCCCGAACCCGAGTCTAAGTTCTACCCAGACGTCCGCCGTTCGTGGGACCCCATCCAATCCAGCCAAGTCGTTTAATCCGGCTCAGTGTTTCTCAATATAGCCTCATACTTAAATCTAGGCAAATCTGGCTTAGTGGCCCCCATCGTGCTTAGTAGCCCTTAGGTCGTCGCTCTTGCGAAGATCTCGTAGGAAATGCCTCGTGGAGCAGGAGGAGGACGAGGAGGAACAGGAGGAGGACGAGGAGGAGGAGGAAGAGGAGGACGAGAAGGAGGAGGAGGAGGAGGAGGAGCATTGATCGACTGTGTAGGGAGGAGGATATCAGATCGAGGAGGAGGAGGGAGGAGGGAGGAGGAGGAGGATGGCAGGGCGCGGGGAAGGGAGGAGGGAGGAGGTAGGGAGGAGGGAGTGAGGGAGGGAGGACGAGGAGCAGGAGGAGCAGGAGCAGGAGGAGGAGCAGGAGGAGGAGGAGGAGGAGGAGGCGCAGGGCTCCCCCCCTGCGGAGGCTGCAGCAGCACGTCCTGCAGGTGGTGTACCTGGGCGTCGCCGCGCCCCAGCGCGGGCAGGGCGTGGGACGTTCCCTCGTGCGTGCGGTCCGGGAGGCGGCCTGCCGCGCGAGCGCGGAGCTCCTCGCTGTCGTCGTCGTCGTCGTCGTCGTCGTCGTCGTCGTCGTCGTCGTCAGCGTCAGCGTCAGCGTCAGCGTCAGCGTCAGCGTCAGCGTCGTCAGCTTCAGCGTCAGCGTCAGCGTCAGCGTCAGCGTCGGTGTCGTCGTTGTCGTCGCCGCCGCCGCCGCCGTCGCCGTAATCGTAATCGCGGCCATCGTCGTCGGTCGTCGTTGTCGTCGCCGTCGTCATCGTTGGCGTCGCCGTCGTCGTTATTGGTATTGTTATTGTTAGTGTTAGTGTTAGTGTTATTGTTGCTGTTGTTGCTGTTGTTGTTGTTGTTGTTGTTGTTGTTGTTGTTGTTGTTGTTGTTGTTGTTGTTGTTGTTGTTGTTGTTGTTGGTGTTGCTGTTGTTGTTGTTGTTGTTGTTGTTGTTGTTGTTGTTGTTGTTGTTGTTGAAGTCTCACTACTGAAGAATAATCATTGTTGGCCCCCCCTCCGTTGCACATTGTATTCTTTCAATTAAAGTGCCCCTCCTGGCGCTCGCACCCTGTTTTTCCTTTCAAACAAATAATCATTTTCAAACTGCGTTGTTGGCCCCGAGGTTACAACAACAAAGGCTCCTGTCTGAGACCTCCTTTCAACTTAGCCAGGGTCCCCGCTCCCGCCTGAGACTTCCTCGCATTTTATTCAGGAATCGGGCTCTCGCTTGGGACTTCCTTATGACTTGCCAGGAATCGCTCTGAGGGTGCTGAGGCGTGCTAAGTTCGGGGCCCTTGTTTCCGCGCAGGATCCAAATAGCGAGGCGACCGCGGAAGGGCTGGTGCACAGGTCGCAGATCAAGGACGGCTTCGTAGAAAGCGTGGAGGACGAGCTGGAGGTCGGCCAGGAGGTTCAGTGGAGGCCGGGCGGCGGGCCATGAAGTCTGAGGACTCTTTTCGGCCAAGGGAGTCCGCAGGCCTGAGCGCCTTCGAGGGCATCGGCTCCTCCACGTGGCTCACTGGGAGGGTGCTGAGGTGTGCTAAGTTCGGGGCCCTTGCTTCCGCGCAGGATCCAAATAGCGAGGCGACCGCGGAAGGGCTGGTGCACAGGTCGCAGATCAAGGACGGCTTTGTGACCAGCGTGGAGGACGAGCTGGAGGTCTGTCAGGAGGTCCAGGTGCGTATGATAAGCTTCGACGTGGGAGCGGGCAGGATGGGCCTTTCCATGAAGCCTGAGTCCGCAGATCCGAGCGCCTTCGAGGGCATCGGCTCCTCCACGAGGCTCACTGGGAAGGTGCTGAGGCGTGCGAGTTCGGGGCCCTTGCTTCCGTGCAGGATCCAGATAGCGAGGCGACCGCGGAAGGGGCTGCGGAAGGGGCTGGTGCACAGGTCGCAGATCAAGGATGGCTTCGTAACCAGCGTGGAGGACGGGCTGGAGGTCGGCCAGGAGGTGCAGGTGCGCGTGACGGACGTCGACGTGGGGGCGGGCAAGGTGGGCCTGTCCATGAAGCCCGAGGACGACGCCAGCGAAGAGGAATATGCGCGGTTTCTTTTTACGCAACTAGGAAATGTGTTACAATTGTCGTTTTGAACTTCGGCGCTCGTGTATTTTTGGAGAGTGGCTTGCGACCGTCACGGGCTCCACGCTTTAGGTTCCATTCTCTGCAGCCCCGCTCGAACGTCAATTCCCCCCATATTGTGCCCGCGCGACGCCGCGACTGGAACGCCACTGCGGGCGTCCTCTGGCAACCGCGGCGGCACGCTGCTTAGGCTCCGCATCCAGGCTGCGCGGTTGCGCTGCCAACATCCAGCCTGGCGATGATTCTACCAGCCGTTTTTTTCAAAACAGTGGGGCAGTTCGGTTGGCATGCCGCTCTGCCCGTGGAGATCATGGGGGCCCTCGCCAGGGCCTTTGGGAAAAGCTGCCTTCGGACAGGCCAGGGACCGGGATATTTGATCCAGGACGCTTCGCGCGGGTCGTAAGGAGGGTGACTTGAATGGGCGTAATTGCACCCCCTCCGCATCCTATCGCCTCCTGGCGTTGCCCCTTGAGGACCGAGAGGAACCAGGACTCTCAGAGATTGCCGGTTTCTCCCGGTCCTCAGGGGCACTGCCAGCAGGTGAGAGGCTCCGGAGAGGTTGCATCGGCCTCCTCTCGTCGCCGACAGGGGCCGGGTAGCCCGCTCCCGCCCAGGAGCGTGCGGATCCGCTATCGGGGGGTCATCGCCGACCTGTACGGGCGATGTATCGCCGGTTCCAGGTCCATGTTCCCCCTCCTGGGAGAAGAGCCAGTCCCCCCCCCTGCGTCCTCCTCCCCCTCCTCCTCGCTCCTCCTCCTCCTCCTCCTCCTCGTCCTCCTCGTCCTCCTCGCTCCTCCTCCTCCTCCTCCTCCTCCTCCTCCTCCTCGGTTCCAGGTCCTGTAGAGCCAGTCCCCCCATGAGGGAGGGCATGTGGGCTGGAGCCGAGGCTCCGCCGCGCGCCCCGCCTGGGGACGGCCTCCGGGCCGATGTGCGCGTCAGTCAGTCAGTCGGGCAGGGCCAGCCCCCCATGTGCATCTTCAGGGTCTTCGTCCTCCCCCCCGCCAGCTCCCATGTTTCCCCACATGTTCCTCGGGGTCGTCGACTCGTTGTGCCTGCGTGTCTTCTTTGTCCCCCTCCTGACGCTCACCACTGCGCTGGTCTCTCTCAGCCCGCCGAGGGGGGGTCACCGCGGCCCTGGCTCCCATGGCCAGCGAAGTTCAGAATAGGCGCTGAAATTTCCCTGGTTGAAAACTGGCCGAATCTCGCCCCCTAGTCCGGCTCAGTCCCGCTTGATCCAGCCTGATCCCATGGTCAATTTGGCCTAATCCGGCTCAGTGGCCCCTTCATCGGGCTTAGCAGCCTTTGACCGTTGCGACGAAGTCTTGCCAGGAGCTGCATTCTAACCTAGCGTTCCCCCTCAGGTCCGATTTTGCCTCCTGGCTTTCGGGTCATAACTCGGGCCTGCGGCGGCCGTTCGGGACGATCCAGGCACACCAAACGCCCTCGGCAAGGCGCAGCCGCTGGAGGGCCTCCCGAGGCTGGAAGGCCGCCGAGAACGTTTGACAACGCTTGAAAACCTCGAAGGTCGAGCCCACTGCGGTGATCCAAGTGACGTTCCCTCTCTCCCGCAGCCGTCCCGCACGCGCCTCGGCGGCGCAGCGGGGGGTCCGTGGTGGATCTGGAGTTTGAGCCGAAAGAGGCGGCGGCGTGGCGGTCGTCGTCGTCGTCGTCGTCGTCGTCGTCGTCGTCGTCGTCGTCGTCGTCGTCGTCGTCGTCGTTCTCGTCTTCGTCGCGCACGCTCTTTTTGTTGTTTCTCTCTCTCTCTCTCTCTTCTCTCTTTCTCTCCTTTCTCTCTGCTTATCTCGACCGTCCGCCCTGCCAGGTGGCCAAGGCGGACCAGCTCTGCCTGTCGATCGCGGTGCTGCTACCCACACCGGCGGCCGAGGCGGGCCCTGCGAGTCCGCCTGGACGGGGGTGAGGAGTGAGGAGAGGAGGATGTAGGATGGAGGAGGTAGGAGGGAAGAGGTGGAGGGAGGAGGGAAGAGGGAGGCTTTTGACTATACTTAGCTCGTTGCAAGTTAGCTTGAGCGCAGCGGCCAACAGGACTGGCACAGGCTGCACACGAGAAGCCCGAGAGCATGGACGCTGAGCTGCTTCCGCTCTCGTCCCGAAAACTGTCGGGAGAGAGGTATTGGCGCTGCGGGAGGGGAAGAGAGGAATCAAAGATTGGGGGAAGAGAGGCATCTTTTAAGAGAGAGGAGGAGTTTGCAGCTCCGTGCGAAGAGAGACATCAGCGGAGCCCTGCTTCGTTGCCCATAGCAGGGCAGCCCTCGAGGCAAAGAGCAGTACAAGGCTGGAAAAAGGAGAAACCTGCCTAGGTGTGCCGTCCAGGTTGCGGTCGGCTGAAGGAGAGGGAAGAGCTGGAAGGAGGGCCAAATTGGCCAGGCCGCCGTGCGGCTGTCCAAACCTCCAGGGGAGGAGTGCTGGACTGGAGAAGGGCGGGGGTTCCCCGTGAGGCCGCGCTGCGGTGAAAAAGCCAGGGCCTGTGTGCTTGCGTGCCGTGCGCGAGTGCCGCGCCCTCCCATGTGGGCTCGACCCCGTCTTTCAGGAGGGCACGGCAGGCCCCTCCCATGTGGGCTCGACCCCGTCTTTCAGGAGAGGCCTGGGGCTATACAAGTAAGCAGTGGAAGGTGTGCCACGAGGCCGCGCTGGGTAGGAAGAAGCCAGGGCTGCTTGCTGGCCTTCAAAACGCCAGCGCCGAGCCCTCCCATGTGGGCTCGACCCCGTCTTTCAGGAGGGCCCGGGCGACCCCTCCCATGTGGGCTCGACCCCGTCTTTCAGGAGGGGCCTGGTGCTGTACAGAGTAGCTGTTCGCAAGTGCCAGAGATTGCTGCCTTGCCGGCCCGCGAAAAAGGTCCGAAGCCAGTTGGCGCTGGCACCACACCCTCCCATGTGGGCTCGACCCCGTCTTTCAGGAGGGCGTGGCCGACCCCTCCCATGTGGGCTCCACCCCGTCTTTCAGGAGAGGCCGAGCTGTACAAAGTAGCTGTGCGCGAAGGCCAGAGAGGGCAGCCAGACCTGCCGCAAAAAACTGCCATACCTGCCCATCCCCCTCCCTGCTCTGGCTTTCCGCCTTCGGCGGGAAAAACTGGCTGAGCTCTGGAGGATGGCTGGTGACTCGAGCCGCCTATGGCGGAGACTGGTGCGCGGCAGATGCGGCAACGCGCCGCGCTGCGGCCGCTGCATCCAAGGCGGCACGTGCTGGGGTACAGGTGAAAAAGGGCCTAGAGTCGTCGTGGCGTGGCGGACTCTGCACAGTGGGGCTCGGCAGCTGCGCCCCTGGCACTGGGTCTGCCTGTGACTGCTGCGGGGCCGCGAACAGATTACTCGAGGCTGACAGCACCGCGCGGCAGGCCCTCGCCTCCGCTGCTGTGATCCCCGGTGGCGTACATGATGGCTGCCCTGGCGACGGCACTGACACTGGCACTGCTTCTGGCTGGCGTGAGGGTGCTGGCACCGGCCCTGTCGGCCGTGAAGGTGCTGGCGGCGCTGGCGCTGCAGGGCGTACTGGGAGTGGTACTGGCCTTGACGGCCGTGAAGGTACAGAGACTTGCCGAAAAAATGGTGGCGGGCATAAGCCCTGCGCGAGGCCTAGGGCAGTGGCAGGGCTGGGGCCTGGATCAGCCTCCGCCCGCGTCCTAGGCGGAAAGCCTGGGATTGGGGTGCCGCGGGGAAGAAAAGGAGGCCGTGCAGAGGGGGGGGCAGAGGGGGAGGTGAACTCGCCCTCCGGGACCACCACGTCGTCGCCCGCTGCCGCCAGCCGCTGACCGAGAACCCCGTGGTCTGGAAAGCCCGCCTCGGCAGCCATGGCCGCTGGTCCCGCTGCCAGCGGAGACGAGGGGACTGCAGCCGCCGCGTCGCCTCCATGGGCACCGGGAGCGACAGCATCCGGAGAGGGAGAGGCCGCTGCGCCCCGCTGCGCAGAGGGCGTTGGCGCCGCCGCCAGCGCCGAGGCCACCGCCTGGGCCAGCTGCGATGGCTGGCGGCCACGATGGCTGGTGAGGGCTGCGAAGGCGCGCAGAAGGTGTTCTGACGCGCGCGCCTCGGCCCTCGTGTACTGCGCGCGACGCGCGGCAGCCTTCCGCGGCGGCCTGCGGCGGCTTGCGGTGGCCGCGGGAGGCGCCTCCATAGCGCGGCCGAGGGGACGGGAGCAGGGGAGAGCGGGGAGGCGGCGCGGGGAAGCGCCGATGGCGCTGGCTGGCGCAGAGCGGCGGCTCGTGCCAGCTGGCGCTGGAAGAGGGAGGAGGTAGGAGGGAGGATGATCATAATGGTGGTGATGACTGGTGATGATGATGATGATGAGGAGGAGGAGGAGGAGGAGGAGGAGGAGACGACGAAGAGGAGGGTGAGCATGTCCCTTCACAGGCCGTTACAAGGATTCATTCCAACTGAGGGAAGAGCCCCGCTGGAAGACATCCGTTAGAAAATCCTGAACCGTGCCAGAGCACCATTCCAGGGATTTCAACTCCACGAAGCAACCTTATTGTTGCGCCTTGACGATGCTGGATCGTGCCGGAGCACTATTCGTGGTACTTCATACAGCGAATAAGCGTAACTGTTGCGCCCTGACAATCCCACGCCGTTCCAAAACACTATTTCTGGGAGGATTACAGTAAGAGTCTTTGAAACTGCTGTAAACTCTTGAGCCGAATATGCGCGGCGATGGGGTGAAAGCCACCTTTTGAAAAGGTACCGCACTCCATCCGTGAAGCTATTCCAGCCGTTTAGTGTGAATGCCCGCGA